AGAGAGCCTTCCTGACCATGACACATTAAAATAATGCTTACACCGCATCAAACAGGCCTGCCCAATTTACCAATGCTGCCCATAAATTTCACTTGTGAGGCCAGGCAATGTTCAAAGTCACAGCAGTGTTGGCACAGGAGTTATTTTGCTGAGCATGGAGCAGCAAGACCAAGAGGCAAGTTCACTTCATCATGCTGTGCTCTCTTATATAACTGCATTATCGTTGATATGATGTAACATCACGTGCTGTACCTGGGGAAGAGCAAAAGGTACCCCAATAAATGTGTCAATCATAGAAAGACAAATACCTTCCCTTTGTGTTTCCTGTGAGGTGTAGATTACAGTGGTCTTTATATACCCTTTGTGGAAGGAAAATACGACCATATGGGGTGCACATCAGTGAGCTGAGAGCATCTGTCAACATTATAAATATTTGATCTATGATTCCCTTTTGGGGATGCTTTGTTGAAACACTCTCCAGTGGTTTAAGGCACTGTTCTTCAAAGATGGTGAGAGATAAAACGTTTCCTCTCAGAAAACATTATAGTGCAGCTGCTGTGCAGAAACCGATTCACTGTAAACCTTCTAGTCTTATCTTCTTGACAGAGCAGTCAAAGAACAAAAGAATTTTCCCAGCTGTAATGTGTTTCTAACCTCACATATGGGGCCTTTGTTCATATAGAACGCATAATAAGAACTTACCAAGTAAATGAGACCTACAGCAGATGACAAATTAAATGGAATAAAACTGAATATATAAGTGCAGAAATAACAAATGAGGCACATGGAGGGCACTGAGCGGCTTGATGAGTTTAGCCTTTGCAGCGCCAGATCTAGTCCCAGTTGGAAACCTAAGGGAGACGTGTTAGATGGTGCCCTCCATCATCATCAGTCTATGCCAAGGAGCATTAAATCTGTTCTGGCAGCTCACAGTGGCCCAACACTGTACCAAGACACCTGTTACGACTGTTGGTTTTTCCTTTAATTTCATGTGTACTGCACTCGCTATATTTTACCTTAAAGAAACAAACCAAATATGTGAATCATAAAATGCTACGTCACATGTGTCACAGAGCACCACCCAATTGCAACAGAGCTAAGAAAGGAACTATGCTGCATTTTGAGGAATAAGTGTTCTGCACTGTCAAGCACAGACAGGCAAACATCTGCAACAGGCATAAATACTGTCTGGATTAATAAATAATACCGCTGTATTATTGATATTGCTGTACTTAAATTGGATGTAATTTGCTGCAGAATTGACTTGTGGTGTATTCCTCCACCAGTCTTAAAATTAAAGCACAGGGCCGTGGAACATCATACATACTGCAGTGTAATCAACCCTGCTCAATTGCTGTTATTTGACCTTGTTATGATTTATTATCATCCCCACTACACACACACACACACACTCACTTATACATACTGATTCACACACAAATACACACATGGTTGATGCGCAGTCCAGTGCAGCTCTGCAGCATGGTCTCTGCTGCTGCTGCTGCTGCTGATTCCTGCCTCTCGGCTGCCAGAGGCTCACAATGCAGCAAGGTGACTCAATGTTATTGTCTTCTCCTCGGAGAGCCTCCTCCTGCTGAATCACAGCTTAGGAAAGGTGCTGAGCAGAAAATGTAATAAAGATTCTCTTGTTCTTTTTTGACTTTCAGCTCAGAATACTTTGGGTCCTAATGTATCTGGCAGGTGCCCACAAAGGAAATCAATAACACCTTTTGAGAAAAGCATCTTTTCAAATTATCCCTTAATCGCAGCAGGGTACGGTACTATATGAATGAGTGTGTACAGGTGTCTCAGAGTGCCTGAAACATTAACTGCACACTGTTTAGAATAATATTTAGACAGTGGTCTCGTGTTCATTTTGCAGTGCATTTAATCATTATATAGGTGTTGATTAAAAAGAAGTGCTGAGCTTCCCCATCTGCTTTATTTCACTTTCTACGTTAGTTATGATCCAAGACAATGATTAATTGCCTTCCAGCTCATTGAACTATTACACTGACATCTACAGGGCAGGGATGTTATATTTAGTCTTAAGCCAACCGATCCAGATAAAAAAAATAAAAATGGATTCATTGTCTCGCTGTACCTGCCAAGACTCATAAATAGTCTTTTGGAGTTTTTATTCTAGCACTCATAGTTCCAGGAGAAAGCCAATGTTTTTACAACTCCTGGGCAACTAATTTACACCCTCTATCCAAGCTGCTCTAAGTAGCTGTTGAAAGAAGGAGGCAATCTGGGGTCTAATTTTAACACAAATCTTTGTTTAAATCTGTAGAGATTAGTGTTTATAGTAAAACTAAAAAAAGCAGCCACTGTGGGTGCAGGGGCTGACGAGGACCGTAGCTTTTAGTTTGTTTAATCATGCTCTCATTATCTCCTGTAGCTCCGAGCATATTTGACAAGTTAAGCTATGATGAACTTCCAGTTCCACATGCCTGTGAACAGACTGGAGTAATGGAGATAAGCCAACAAACAACAATAGCACCCTCTGTTGGAGAGATGGGGGATCACTCACATGTATATATGTCTGCATATGATACTAATGTTTAAGTGTGAAGTGATCAAATCAAAGCATTTATAGAGAGAAAATTTGTGGCTTCTTTCTGATGACTTACAGTGCTAATCTTTTTTCTTTTTGAGTGTCTACAGAAAGCAAAAGGACGGGCTGGTTTTTATCAGCATGCAGGCTGCAGAGTGCACCGAGAGGAGTGTCACCATCTTTAAGTACAGCCACCAGGTCCCATGTAAGATCTCCCCTTGAGCACAGTGAGCAAGGCTGGGGTGAGAGGTGCACCTGGACCCATTAATCATACACTGCTGCTTTCTGAGTTGAGCAAAAAAAATAGTTTTATTCAACTTTAAAGTACTGTACTTACGTAAGTGCAAGTTTGAGGTAGCCTACTTCTACTTTTCTCAAGTATATTTCCATTCTTTTTTATACTGCATTACCAACACCACTCTTGAATGTATATTTAACATTATGCACATATTGTATGTATTTCTTATTGTTTCTATTTATGTATATATAGTGTTGTACATTGTGGCATAATACACGTTATGTATCTAAAACTTTACATACTAGTTCCACACATTGTGATGTTTGAGGCACATATTTTTACACACTTTACATACAATATTATATATGTTATATTCTTTGAAAATTTTATATACTAGTGTGTTATTTTTTTATATTTTTACAACTTCCTGCTTTCATTCTTCATATTCTACTTTCCATAATCCTTTATGCTTTACATCAGAGCAACTGTGATATATTACAATTTCCCTCCAGGGATCAATTAAGTATTTCTGATTCTGATTCTGATACTCTGTTTTTACTTCTACTCCATGACATTTATCTTACAGTTATAATTGCAAGCAGCTCTGCAGATTAATATCTTAAATAGGCATATATATATGATCATGAAATTTAATGCATTGTTACTGATAAAACAACATTATTTAAATGAGTAAAAATTGGCTCTGTCTTTACCAGCTGCAACATCTAAGTGCTGCAAACATATTCATGCATCAGTAATAACAATCCACTATTATAATGTACAATAATAGGCCTACTGACAGGGGCCTCAAGAACATGTTGCTGATTTTACTCTTGTATGTTCTATGTTCCAGTTAAGCAACATTTTGAATTTAAGGCCTATAGCCTATTTTCAGCATAATGGAGTATTTCAACACTGTGGTATTAGTATTTTCACTTAAGCAAATTATTTGAATAGCCTCCTTTTCCCACCACTTGTGCAGTGAAAGAATAGTAGACATATTGCACCCACCTTAGTTAAGTCAATTCAATAGCAATTGTCTTCTGAAACAATAAACAAAACAGATCTGCATTAGACATAGGTTGAGAATCGATAAATAAATTGCGAATTGATGAGTTTAATGAGGAAAACTATAAAATTGTACTAATGAAAAGAGACTCAATTCATCATACAGCTTCACTGGCTTTGTCTTAGGCTATCTGTGTTATGAGTGTTTCCTGACCTTCACTCTTCCAAACAGTGGCATATGGTAATTAGGACAGGCCCCAGTGCATGTTATTATGATTGTCTCTGGTTTCATTAATTTTCCGTAACCGCTTATCCTGTTGGAGGTCGCAGGGGCTGGAGCCTATCCCAGCTGACACTGGACGAGAGGGTACACCCTGGATAGTTCGCCAGACTATCACAGGGCTGACACATAGAGACAGACAACCATTCACACTTGCATTCCCACCTACGGACAATTTAGAGTCTTTGGATGGTGGGAGGAAGCCGTAGTACCTGGAAAAATCCTACGCTGACACAGGGTTCGAGCCAGGGTTCGGGCCCTGTAACTAGCTACGACCTGACATTAGACAACATCAACATACATAATACCCTGCAGTTATCAGCGCAAATATGTATATGACAAAAATACCAAATAAAATGAGAAAATATACATTCAAATTAAATATTTTTTATAGTTTGTTGTTTTATAGTTAATGTAAACATATAATTTTATTGAAGAATGGATCGCTACTGTCTGTTTCACCAAAAAAAAAAGAAAAAAGAAATCATGATGGAGATGGGTTTGCCTTTATGTGGGCAGATACGGCAGTTGGCCCCTTTTTTATTGTAACATGAGTTATTCTTTGAACATGGGTGTATTTCTGTGGTGGCAATGTTAAAGAGTTACAAGAGCCTTTTCTCTGGTCAACACGCTGTCACAGGGCCTGCTCTCTCTAAGGGCCCCACATCCCATGGGCCCCTGCGTAACCACACTGCCCACACTGTCTATATTTCCGCCCCTGTTTCTAAATTTACTGTCATGGACCAACCAGAAACAAGAAGTAACTGCACCTTTGAAAGTACCCGCCCACCTGCTCTGTCGTCATGTCGCCACGTACGATTCAATGCAACGCAACTTGCTAGTCCATCTGACGGACAGCTGAGTTGACCAATAGCATCAACACTGCCACGCACACAACATAACGTGCTGACTAGCGACCTAGCTGCCGACACTACTCCAGCTGAGAGGAAGCGACGCGAGGAAAACAGAACAGATGAGGTCCAGGATTGACAGTAAAGTGAGTTTACAAATAACGCTTATATACTGTGCTCTTATATGAAGCTTATAACATCACCTTTAGTGTCATGGACATGTAACGTTAGCCGCGCCGCTCAAACTGACAATATACATGAGTTAGCTCAGGCGCTTGATTCTCATTAGCTATATCTGTCAGTGGTGATGCTAATGCTAACACCAACAGCCTTCCTCTCGATGGTAGTAGGCAGCCAATAATAGGCAAACTATCCTGGTTAGAGGAGCTGTTTTAATAAGGTGACGCTAAATGAGGAAGCTGACCACTGAACGACCCCTGCACACACATTGACACGTTGACTTTTTATCTTTACATACCATTTAATGTAAATAATAGTGTAAAATGAAATTGCTCTGACATGAATTGTTCCCATTTCCAGATGTGTTGGAGCCGGGTCCTTGTCACCGGCTGGGCTCTGCTGCTGGTCCAGCTGCTGTGTTCAGAGGCAGTGCCCATCAGTATGGATAAGACAAAAGTCCAACAGCCAGAGATTAAAACTGAAGAGGTTCCAGCTAGTGTGGTGAGAAGATACATGATGTACACACATCATCATGCACAGCATATGTCCTGTTCTGCTATTATAGTAATTAGGTAGTCCTATAATTATTCTGCAATTGGGCAGATTCATCAGTAGATCAGAGAGGAGTTATTTCCTTGTCTACACATCAAGATTTTGTTCTAATATGGAGGTAGATTTGTGTCAGTATTATTTGTGAGCAGATCAACAATCAGTGTGTTAATCTGTAAATATAAAACACTTTCCACAAATATAAAAACAGATTTATAAACACACAAAAATATTCTGCAAATAGAAAATAAATCTACAAATACGCAAATTCCAAAAATTAAAAAAAAATCTGTAAATATACAAATTCCAAAAATTAAAACAAATCTGTGAATACATTAAAATAATTTGTAAATAAATGAATAATGTTTGTGAATGTCTTTCTAACATTTGTAACTTTTGAAGAAATACCTGTGAATCCAGTTTTTATTTGTGAATCTCAATTCTGCACTTGTGGATTTTTATTTTACGCACACACAGTTTTGTGTTTAATATGTGTATTTTTTGTGTATTTGGAGATTGTTATTTTCAAAATATTTTTGTGAGTTTTTGAATCCTTTTTTTGGGGGGTTATAAGTTGTTTTATATTTACAGATTGCACTTTTACACACAGATTGTTGATCCCCTCACATGAATAATATTGATACAAACCTGACTTCAATAAGCAATTAGTTCTTACCTTTATTAACCTACCACAAATCCCAAATCTACAGCTTCTCAAATACAATTCTTTTCCTGTTTTAAATTATTATGTAAGCAGATTCAAGAATGTATGTCGGCTGTGGTAACTCAGGACCAGCCATTTTAATTTTAAAATCAGTAAATGACTAATCAACGTTAAGAAAATAATCAGCATAAATTACTTGTTAGTTGCAGCTAATGCTCGAGCTGATGCTCAGCAGTTACGTTGCTGTTATCGGCTGCTTCATAATGTAAACAAGAGAGCGCTTGGTAACAACAGCCGGACTAATTTAAATGAGAGATTGCCTGATGTCTCATTGTGCTACAATTAAATTACCTCAATCAGATACTCCACTCAGTACTCATGATCCCACAAATCCATTTCATCATCAGTACAACAGCTCCAGATGTTGTAGCTTTGTGTGCATGCACAGATTGGAATCACTGATTTCCGCCCTCAGGAAGCGTTTGTCCATGTTAAACATTGACATATTGGTTTAGCAGAGCTTAAATAAATACATAGATTCAGTCTGGAGGTGAGAATGCATACACATGTAACCTTTTTATGAGACCAAGTAAGTGATCTTTAACCACAAAACAGCTGTAGCATGTGGCAATTTACAGAAGGCAGTTTATAGACATTAATGGCAAAACCTGTCGTCTCTACATCATCAGCTTTCCTAAATAAGTGCTGATAATAAATCACAATAAACAAGAAAGATTAATTGTATTTGTAGAATTACTTGGGTGTGTTGTCTGTTATATGTATAACATTTTAAAGTGACATTTGATGTGCTTCATTTTACAGGATACTGGACTCCACTACGACCGCTACCTCAGGGAAGTCATTGATTTTCTGGAGAAAGATCAGCACTTCAGAGAAAAGCTCCACAACACAGACATGGAAGACATCAAGGTATCCTGCTTTTCTTTTGTTTAGTTTTATCAGCATGGTTGGATGTTTCCACTCGCCCTGTGTTAACTACTTCTAAATTATTACTCTGACTGGTAAAATATGGGCTTTCATGTCCAAGCATGTGATAAATCCAATGAAGTCATGAGTTGTTGAAAAATACCACCAATATACCAACAGATTTTCTTCGTCTTTTTTGGAAGTTTGATTCACTGCACCTTTCATTTCAACTTTACAAAATAATGTCAGTGTAATTGTTTAGTTTGTCTGTTTATTGCATGTGTTGCTATAAGCCTAGATATTAAATGACCCCAACTAACACTAACTGATTCATGTATAACACAGCAAGGTAAGCTGGCCAAGGAGCTGGACTTTGTCAGCCATCATGTCAGAACAAAACTGGATGAGCTGAAGAGACAGGAGGTGAGCCGACTCCGAACTCTGATTAAGGCCAAGCAAGACCTTGAAGGAGGGAATGGTACGTTGTGCAACAAAATGTATATTTTATTTTGATTTATAATCAGAGAAAGATGCTTTAGCTTAAATAGTACATTAGTTATAAGGAAAATTCTGTCATGTTTCTGTATATGTTTTTATTTATGTCATTGATTACTCCCTGAACAGACATCGCAGTGGATCACCAGGCTCTGCTGAAACAGTTTGAGTACTTGAACCACATGAACCCGCACACGTTTGAAGTGGATGACCTGGATCGGCTCATCAAATCGGTAAATCTCATCGCTGCTTCATACCGTTAAAAATGTTAACTCAAGGATACGTTCACACTATTTCACTTATTTAAACTGCCATTGATTTCTTTTAGGGATTTCTACTTTGAGTAAGTAATTGAGAGGTAGAGAGGTTAAAACATGAGGATCACACACAACTGCTTTAATTATAAGACATCAGTTATGGTTAAAGAATGACCATGTGTATCATGGGTTGTAGACAGCTACATATTTTCAACACCCATAAAGGAAAAGAAGGCAGTTGCAGGCGCAGAGAGCAGCAGTGTCATTACGGGAGTCTAATGACCTCTCTGCAGCTAGTGTCATGTGACCAGCTTTTCATTAATAGCACAAATTGTTAAGAGATTTTTTTTTTTACAGCAGGGGAAAAGTTTAGACATGCTCCTGTATCTTAATTTAAGTTCAGAGATGATATCATTTCTTATAAATGATTTTAAAATGCAGTAAAAGTCTTTACAAGTTGCCTTTTTTTTTTTTTTTACCAAAATGAAACAACAGAAAATTAATGGAGTCTGGGCGGGGTAAAAGCATTCACAAATCTCAGTAAACAATACTATATACTGTATGCAGTTTAATATATTATCTTAGTTTAGTCTTCAGATGGGCTAACAACATGAAAACGTTGAATTGCTCCATAACCAACTGTTGTTATTTTTCCCCTCCATGTATAAAGGCCACTAAAGATCTGGAGAACTACGACAAAGAGCGACACGAGGAGTTCAAGAAGTATGAAATGATGAAAGAGCATGACAGGAGGGAACACCTGAAAACACTAGACGAGGACGAAAGAAAGAAAGAGGAAGAGCACTACGAGGAGATGAGGAAGAAGCACGCTGACCACCCGAAAGTCAACCACCCGGTAAGTCTGTTTTAGGTACACACACACACACACACACACACACACACACACACAGGTGACAACACAACACTTATGGCATGACGTGGTTTGTTTCAGCCAATGAAGAGAAACTCTTTGTGTCCCTTTTCATGTTGCGTTGAGTTACAGATCATGCAACAGTACATTGTGGGTTATTTATCCATCTATAATTCAAATGTGATTTTTCTCTTGTGTTGCAGGGTAGCCAGAATCAACTAAAAGAGGTGTGGGAGGAAGCTGATGGCTTAGACCCTGAGGACTTTGACCCCAAGACCTTTTTCAACCTGCATGGTAAGACCATTACCAACTGGCTACTGTTAAAGACGGGAGGGATAATGTCCGTTTATTCAGTGCTTCATCATCTGTATTGTCCTTTTCTTTCTTTATAATGCAGACACCAATGGAGATGGCTTTTTTGATGAACAGGAGCTGGAGTCATTGTTCACCAAAGAGGTAAAGCCATGGCGTCTGAAAATTTGTAATGTGTCAGAGAATGGTCTTTGTACTGACTGTTGGTCTCTATGATTTTAGCTGGAAAAAATCTACGACCCCACCAATGAAGAGGATGATATGGTGGAGATGGAGGAAGAGAGGCTACGTATGAGAGAGCATGTTATGAATGAGGTACAGTAAGTTTCACAAAACTATGCGTTTTGCATATGCACATAAATAGAGCCATTCATCTGTTATCTGTCGCCCCTGTCTTCCCTCATAGGTGGATTCTAACAAGGACAGGCTGGTCTCTTTAGATGAGTTCCTAGTTGCTACGAAGAAAAAAGAATTCTTGGAGCCAGATAGCTGGGAGGTGAGGCGCAGTATTTTAATCATATTGACATTATATTATGAGAGTAGTGTAACCCTAAAGCCACTTTTGGTAAAAAAAAATAAAAAAATAAAAAAAATGGGACTGTAATATCCACTCTGTGCTCCTCAGACCCTAGAGCAGAACCAGGCTTACACAGACGAGGAGATGAGGGAGTTTGAGGAGCATCTTGCTCAGCAGGAGCAGGACCTCAACGAGAAGGCCTTTGACCTCCAGAAACAGAGAGACGAGCTGGAGAGGCAGCAGGAGCAGCTTAATGCACAGAAAATAGAGCTGCAGCAGGTATGGAGGGGTACACTGTTGTTTGGAATATTTTAGCTGCAGACACAGTTTGATACAGTAGGTTTACCCTGGCAGAATATGTTTACTATTCAGCTATTCAACCTGATGTTTTACGTTTATTAGAAAATAGTGGTTCTGTAGAGGTTAATTCTGACACCAAATCTAAAGGCCCAGACGCACCAAACCGGCATCCAAGAACTAGTGATGACAAAGGCTGACTGTTGCATCATCTCACGCCACCTGCGTCTCACCCAAAAAGTTGCACTTGAGCACACCACCTATACTACAGTAAACTAGCATGAATGTTCGGCACCCTGCGTGAGAGGAAACTCTCCATGCCAACAAGCGGCAGTTGTCTATATTCATCATTAAAAAAGGGAAGCTGGAAGACTGCCTACAGATTCAGGACACCAGTTAGCCAGTCAGCACATTCACAACACAGCCCAGTGTTTAAAGTACAAATTATATTTGCTGTGCACTAGCAACCAATAACACAAACAATTATGAACAGTTTCTGGGAAAGAGCTCAGTGGCTAAAAAAAAAAAAAATTTTCTTTGTTTCTATCTCACACCTTCTTGACTTTAGCCCTTTCATTTATTTTCCTCACTTCCGTTTCTTTTCTTGTGCCCTGAGCTGTACCGCCGATCAGAGTGAGTTTACTCACCGACTGGCTCAGCCGGCTTAACAGCTGATTTAACATGCTGAATCAGCTGCAAAAAAACTGACAAAAAGGCGGGGTAGTGCCAACAGTGTGGCACACAACACAAAAATTAATTAATTGAGGGATGCTCACTGATGTTCCAACATGGACCAATGGCTGACTGACAGCTTGGTGTATCAGGGCCCATAGTGTTACAATATTTTCTGACTTAACTGAAAATGTATTTTCTTGAGATGTGATAATGTTTTATTGACGCTATCAAATTACTGTGACTAACTATGGCAGTGTGTGCACTTTAAATATAAGAAAACCTTGTATGAAACTCGTCGCAGGCAGTCGAGCATATGGAACGGCTGAAATCACAGAAAGTAGAGCCCCCTCCAGAGGTTCACGGTGAGTGTCGATTGCACCATTTCATCTGTCTGTTGATAGTTGTCTGAGTTTACTGGGTGATCTCTGAAAATGTAAAACTGCTTCTTTGTTACAGTTGAAGGAAATGCTATTCCAGAGATGCACGCAATCGACGACCAGTTACATCATGAACAAGAGGCCCAAGCACAAGGACATCATCAACCTGAACACCAGGTTCCTCAGTATTCACCCCAGGAACACCATGAACAACAACAACAGCAGCAGCAAGATCCGGCACAGCATGGTCTCCCCCAGGCACACCAGGATCTACCACCAGGTCACCAAGAAGCTGTACAAGAGCTGCATAACGTGCCATAACAATGCTGTCAGAACTCAAACCTCCACAACCAGACTTTTGCAGCACCTCCACTCCAGCGTGCAGAGGAGCGGTTCCTTCTGAGTATTAGGCCTCTTTAACCAGCATGACTTAGAGGTTTGGAGGACACATGAGATGAAGGAGAGCAGCACAAAAGGAATCCCTGCTGAATGAAACCGGCGTTTGATAATAACTGTAATCCTCTGATTACATAACGGATTTACAATAGCAACATGACCAACCAAGGACGTGCATCCTACAATATGCATACTTTTACATTTTCAAGGAGTGTTGGATTACATTACAAATGATCAAGAATGTTTGGTGATACAATTATACAAAAACAATATTTTGGTGAGCTTTCTTGACCTGCTGTACAGGACCTCTGATCAATGACATGCCACTAGCTCTACAACCTGAGCCTGTTGGATATGTACAGTGCAGCTGTTGATGGGGGTAAGGTGTAAAAAGTAATTTAAATTTTATCATTTTGAGTTTGACTTGACTATCAAGAAACCCCTGCAAATTCGTAGTAGCTGCGACCAAGTACGCGCATGCATCCACATGTCCCTTGTTGCCAATCGCCACAGACAAGTGATCCGCTGTCCTTTGAGTCATGACAGATCTTTCCACAAAATCTTGGGCAATCTATTTGGAAGTCACACCTTTTCTGCGATAGGCATTTCCCATTGCCACCCTCCTTGTGAGCCAATTGGCATGAATGCAAACACACACTCCAAAATGCGAAATTTTAATCTCTTCAGGCACAAACTTGCGCCAAGAAAAGGGTGGGAACATTTTGGAGGGATGAGCGGGATATAGAGCTGCTGGCTGCAGCTAAAAAAGATTTTAGTTTACATGTGTGACCTGTGGTGAAATTTCACTGGACTGTATCAAACATTTTAGAAAATGAGTGCAAGAGACATTTTTAAGATTTTCTATTATTACAATTACAACATTAATGACACTAAAAGGATTAAGAGGCACTGTAGAAATGATAACCAGGATACAGCACTTGATTCCCCAACCAGAACCATTTCACTTGAAGGGGTAAAAGTCTTCTTGATGCAGACACGTACATGTCAAGTATCATGTATCATATTCAGCCGCCACTGTCACCAAATATTACAATGTTTTAACCAGAAACGCCCTCCTGAAGCCAGACTGCTCTGTCTTTATACTTCTGTCGAGACTTACCAATACTTGTGCTACTTTCTTACTCTGGTTGCTTTCATAACCGGTCAGCTGTTTACCTACCATGTAACATCATCGTTTCATGTGCATGGTCTAAGAGTTTTCTTAGAAAATGTGTGCTCTGCCCAAACAGACATCGGGTACAGGAACACAGACACTGGTCATTTTTAGGTCACACTGCAGCTGCTCTCCACTGACCTTGATGTCAAAATAAATTAAGGTGCTAGGTTCTTTAAATAAAGATAGGCGTAAACACCTCTTGCTTCAACAAATATTTCCCCCACGTCATCACAGCCCAAAGTCCTGCAGATGTTTACATGAGAGTTTTAGGTCTCTGTAAGTATGTCGGACTTGTGAAATAATACATTTGCGTTGGTACACTTAACAGTAGGATGGGCATTTTGATTTTGGTCGATTGCTCACACACACAAAGTATGCGTTGATCTTAATTTATCATGAGTTTTAATTTGTGTAACATTTGCTGTAGAAAACCCCTTTTTATAAATCAAGATATAGACTTTTAGTCCTGTGTCAACAAGCATGTTTTCGCGCAATTTCCTTCAAAGTATTTTGTTGAAGCAACTGCTGGATTTTGTTCGTTTATCTTAAGAATTGATCAGGTTAAAGGGCAAAGTGCTGAGTCGGTAAGAGTTAATATTACCACTGTCTTTTTATTGTCTTGGTTAATATTGTCTGTTAAAGTCAAAGTGTGGTATCATGAAAAATTTGCGTTAATTTCACATAATTGTATTTGGCATCCGATGTGTATTACTTGCTCCTAATTTGACTAACATGGCATGGCATATTTCCCCATAAATTACCAGTTTGGTGTAACTGCTGTGCTATCTAGGTTGCTTTTTTTTCCATGTAATGTGGTTTCTTCTAGCTGGCAGACAGGTGTTGACTTATTGCCACTTTTTACTGAAGAAGACTTCATTCTCATCCAGTGAGGTAACAGATCTGCCATATTGTGGTTTTTACTTAATACAGAATCTAGATATGGCATACATATTTTTCTTTTCATTGCAGTGTCATTTGTTTCCTGTGTGCCAAATGTTTCTTTGAGGTAAAATTGCATCATAATTTGCACAAAATGTACAGATTGTTTTCCCAATCGCTTGCTGCTGGATAAAATAGTCACTTGACAAAACTGTACACCTCAGTTCAAGATAATAAAACAGTTACGACCTTTCAGTCTGTGCCAATGATTTTTATCACTGAATGAATGACCTATCAAACTCTTTAGAGTACCGTGTAAACATGTAAGTATAGTTACTCCATACAACACTTACAATTTACATGCATGTCTGTAAAAATGTGGATGCTTTATACATATCTTGCCCCTGGCAGCACAGAAGATCTATACAATCAGCACAGTTTCAATTCAGTATCTGAAGTCTCCCCTTCTGTTTCATAATAGCCAGAACAGTGGTTTTGCAGAACATTATGATGCTAAACACCAAAACAAAAGTCTCAACCAGGCCTCTTGGGAACAGCAAATGACTGGCAGATAAGGGTGGACCTGCGGAAACATCTCAGATTCCCAGAAGACATCATGGACACCACCCTCAGACTGGACATTGTGCTGGTATCAGTAACATTAAAACAAGTGGTCATGCTGGAGCTGACGGTGCCCTGGGAGAAGCGCGGGAGGAGGTGAGTGAGCATAAGAAGGGGAGATTCGCTGAACTGGTTGAGTAGTGCTGCAGAAGGGGTTGGCATGTGCAGTGTATGCCCAATGAAGTGGAGGCGAGAGGCTTTGCAGGGACGTCCTTATGCAGGGCCTATAGCCTCCCGGGCATTACTGGGGCACGTAGAAGACAAGCCATTAGTAGAGCTTCAGAGACTGAAGAAACAGCTTCACAATGGCTGTGGACCAGGAGGAACAAGACTGGTCTGGTTGCCAGGGTGAGGGGGTCTGAAGATGAAAGACCCAAAACCCCCGTTGACCTCTGGTACTATCGCTGATGATGTGTCCAAGTGCATCACTAGATGTATCTATCTACGGTGATGTCAGTGAAGTTCACCTATGGATATATAATGTGATCACTTCATAATTTTATATATACATTCTATATGACGTTTGTGTGAAATCTTGTCGTAACTGACACAAGAATTCTTGAGATATGGATAACATTGTTTTGTGAGGTCACAGTAAACTTGATCTTTGACCACCAAATTCTTATCTTACCTTAGTTCAACCTTGAATCTGAGTGGACGCTTGTGCCAAATTTGAAATAAATCCCTTACGGTGTTCTTGAGATGTTGTTCACAAGCATGAGACAGATAAAGTTACAGTGACCTTGACCTTTGGCTACCAAATTCAAATCAGTTCATCGTTGAGTCCAAGTGGACATTGGTGCCAAACTGAAGAAACTGCCTCCAGGCACAGCTGTCCTCGGAGCAGAGGCATAAATATGTAAAGCAATGACACTTTATTTGTTGGAGTAAAAAGCTTCAGTATGACAGCAACAAAATGTACTTGATAGGATGATTTAATTCCAAGTGATGTTTGTTCTTGACAAGTGTAGTCCTGGTGTTTCTTCTAAAAGGATGTGCTGCTAAAGTGCGGGCTGTATACATGTAGTGCAAGCGAACACAACACAGACTGCACCCATTTTCAGTCTTCTTTTCTACAAGTAAAAAATGATGCCGTCAGAGTAAACTGAAAGATGCTATACATCTACACAGTATCTGTATTTACCTGATTACACTGACAGAAGACTGAAGGGCTCAGTGACAGGCAGGACACGGCTCGCCAAACCACCACCATCAGTCTTCAACTGGCACACACCTGACATATTTAAGCATACAGACTTGGAATAGCAGAACTTAAAACCACAATGCACACCAAAGCAGGAAAGTAGTGTCATTAAACACAAGGTAATAGAACACAACTTTATTGAAACAGTCTCAACCATGACAGCGTACAAAGAGGTGATGGTGCGAGAGGTGACAAAGGGCTAAAAAAAGAAAAAAAAGAAAAGACAAACAAAAATGCGTTTACAAAAAATTATAAGATCAAGAGGAAAAAAAGTGGCTGACAGCACAGGGCAGAAGAAAATCATTCTCATGGAATCAGATCGACAGTGGCAGGGTATTTTTTGCATTTATTTTGTACAAAAAATAAATTAATGAAATCTTTCAAGTTTACAGGAATATCTATTTGTTGTTTTACATCACACAGACTTGCTGATAATTCTACATGTGGTGAAGTTCAGCATTTTGTGTTAGAACATTTAAGAGGATCTGGACAGACCGAAAGCAGGCTAACTCTGATAAGTAGGCCAAGAGTTAAAAAAATAAGATTACCAATGAGAAACAAAACATTGTTATAAAAGTGAGCTGGGGCGAACACATTCAAGAATCCTGAATGTTAAACGTGGCGCGACTTGACGGTCCTTAGGATCGCATTGCTTGAGTATTTCCTCTAGACAAACCTCGAGGTCCTTGGGCAGCTCCCCGCTTGTAATTTTGTTGATATCCCTCCTGAAGAAACAACAGATTTACAATTACTAACTGTCTTACAAATTTGAAATTCCACAGACTATGCACTGTATAACATGTAATAAAAACTATATGAGCCTTTTTGTGTATTAAGTGTATTTTAGGTAACAACAGGAACCCTTACCCTCTGGTAGGTGTTACTGGAATAGTCCCGAGACGTGTTAAATTGGGTTTGACCATAACCACTGGTGGGAGCATTTGAGAAAGGAGGGCGATAGCCGTCATATCCACCTGATGAAAGAAGTATAGCTTCAACTTGTATTCTGTCATTACAATGAATCATGAGGCTGCCTGACAGTTGTATCTCTGTGGAACATAGACTGATGCTCGTACCTCTGAATCCATTGGAGGAGCCCCGGTATCCATTTATCATGCCACGGCTGTTCCTGGGTCCACCCCTGGGCACAGCCCTGCTGTTGTAAAAGGACTGTCCCGACTGTCCGAACGCTGCGCCTGGAGAGGAATCTTCATGGCCTGCTGCTGAGGGCATGACCTGGTCTTGGGGCTGGAATCCACCAACAACTGGACAGAAAGCAAAACAAACAGGATTTAAGTCTCTAATGCACTGGTGGGCGGTTAGTTAAGCAGTTTAAAATGATTTTCTAAAAGCTGAAAAAGCTGCAGCTTTTTTGCCTCAAGACATGCTGATGGACTCCTATTTCAACTTTATTGTCACCAAAGGGATATTCTGTCCTGAGACACTGAGCCCCCTGAAATCCAAACACAATTTCTCACCTTATGCACACAAAATGTTTTATCATACACACAAGTTATTATCTATGAACATATTGTTCATATAAGATAAAATATATCTTTAAGGGGTTTTGAAAGCTCTATACGAAAACATACTAACGCTACTATCCTGTAAATGGAAAAGTGATGCCAAATAGGGGTGCGTCATTTTCCAGTTTTGCCTGTCCAGTCCAGTGTATGAGCTTAAACCAGTTTGATTTCATGCAAACCAGCTGAACTGACATAAGTCATTATAACGCCTTCTGGCAAATTAAAAAGTAGCCTGCATCAGCAACCTGTGCTGACTTGCACTGCAAGAATAATAAGCAATATGACAATGTGATTAATATAATATTATGTTTATAAACGGACTAATGGAGCCACTATTGTCTGACAATGATATTTCAATGGAATAAATTACTTACTGACTTATTCATACTTCAAACAGCATCAATCAGTGATTAACATAGGGGGGATCAAAATAAAATAAATAAATAAAATAAGAATCAACCAGCCACCCTCCTCCCCTGACAATTAAAGAACAGTCCCTAAAGTGCGGTGAGGTTTGTGGGTTGGCTCGTTTCTCCTCTGACACGTCACATACCTGTGTTCGGCTGGCTCGGCTGTTGAGGTACTTCTGGGCAGTCATGACGCCAAGAAGAGGATATTACTGGGGCCGACTTATCCGTCGCCGGTAAGCCGACGGCCGCCGTATTTGACAGGAATTCATTACTGTCTGTGTCTTTGACCCCCGTTCAACCCACAATCGGTGGGATTCGCCTTTCTTTTCTGCTGCTGGTTGAAATCTGTAGGCTGCTCGCACAGCGTGCTGTGAATGATTTAAGCCTATTTTGCTCGCTCAAAACTATTTTTAGTTGCAAATGCGAGTGCAGTGATGGGCAGATCGCCACACTGCCGACATTTTACTCCGCTGGTCACGGCACACTGTTTGATTGCGTTATCAAAACACGCCGCTATTATTCAGCCTTGCTTTTAACTTATTCCACCGAATACCAAATGTGTGTTTTTTTGCAATATTCGGCCGAATATATTCGGTTACCGATTATTCGGTGCATCCCTACTTAATTTACCACAAAAACCAAAATACAGTTGCAGCTTACTGGATGGAAATCACAGGGGAGCTTACAGTTCTACATGGCGTCATTATGTTCCACTCAGGAGCAGCTGCTGAGTCAAGTGGGATACCTGGGAAAAGTACACTGTTCGAGTGGTTTTCACCCCGGCCCAGCCCTAATGCCAAACAATGTTAACAGCTTTTCCAGTGTATATCAACTTCTTGATCTAAAGATATAAAACCACCCAAAGCCCTCACCTGACTGTAATGTCTCCTGTGGGATGTCAGGCTGGTTTACAGGACTCTCTGACTGGCTGCTAAATCCCTGTCCATAGCCACCAGGGAATTGGCCAGGCTGCTTCAAAGGATCTGCCTGGCCGTCAGTGGTTGGCGGTACGGGTGCATTCAGATTAAATACCTGCAGAGGAAAAGAAGGTTTCTGTATCACAATTACAATTGCCATTGAACATCTGGGGAGCAGCATGTACTGTAGGTTTGGGAAATTAAGGGACACGTCAAATTGTTGCCTATTGAGCTGGTGCACCGATGATTAACCAAGTTTTTGCTGCTACCAATGAGTTGTGTTAACTAGCCTTAAAATTTTGATTTAATTTGCCAACTCTTGGCTTGCGCGGATAAGTATGGAATCTGATTGTTTCCAACAGAAAGTGTTAAATAATTCTAATCATGCTCACTGTTATACTGTTTACTTAGAACCAGACAGAAAGCGTACCGCTTGCACTGACTGGAAGGGTGCGGCGTTGACATTGATGCCTCCAGTGTGGGTGGATTTGGAGACGGGTGGGAAAGCAGAGGACAAGGAACATGGGGCAGGGGACTGCTCAGATGGCAGAGACATCGAGGCCTGGGGAGGGGGGAA